GGACAAACTGCGGTGGCAGCGTCAAAAAACAATTTTAGTTGGAATACTATAAATGTTATATTTGTTGTCTGTCATTGTAGCTGGGATAAATTTACTTATTAAAGCTCATAATCTTACCACTTGAAACATCACTAGCCCTGAAGCTGCTGGTAGACATCGTGGTTGGTATTATCAAAGGTTTTTGACACCTGAGAGACACCGTAGGACACCTTTGCGTTTGGAAGCGGTGGGGGGAAGGGGGTGCAGGGAGGATGATTCAACCACTCAACCACTAGATGTCGCTGCAAACAACAAATCCTACACACTGTGCCTTTAAGGTGCTGGTTTATTGTGTCATTTAGACTTAAAATAGAGGGTGAGTCAAAAGTCACAGGGCACTCTTTTMTTTAAGAAAGAAAAGTAAAAATGACATAACTGAATAAACAGCAAGCAAAGGATGAGGGGGGCCTATCTTTTAGGTCATGTCTATAAAATGGCCTCAATCTCGAAAGCCGCCATAGTGGATCCAAATAAAAGRGTGCCCTGTGTCTCTTGACTCACCTTTGACTTTAGGCTTTTTTAGGTTTTGTGCTTTGTAACCTTTGGTACTTCAGGTTTGTTTCACCTTCTGTTTAGCTCCTGGCGCATCAGATCYCAGTTTGACCTTTTCTGGTGACCTTCTGTTGACATTCTAACATTCTAATGAATGCTCAGTTGTTTTGTTTCAGTGTGCAATTAAAGGCTTTAGTTTTCTATCTGACTGCCTTTTGTGAAATCAACATTTGGGTTCTCTTTATCCGCACTTCATACCACGATAATTCTTTCTGYGAGTCTGGTTCTGTGAGTAACATTTGGTTGAGTTAAGCGTTTAAAGCTGCTGGTAGACTGTAATACACACTGCCTGATTCCTTCTGTCTAAGCCATTCATTTCAAGYGTTTATCTCGGACTATTGTTCATGTTTTCTTTCTCCAAAATAGACAATGAACAAAGCATGGCCTGGATGCCARTACTTTTCCACAAGGACAATATTATTAATTTCCTCTTGGGGAAAGAGGCCGACCATGAGTCTGGTGGGAGTGAGCAAAATGTGTGCGCTRTATGGGAGGCAGAATTCAAACTAATTTGAGAAACAAAACCGTCTGAGTCAAAGCAGTTTGTAACAAATAACAGCATTTTTGTGTTGTATTTCTGCTGGGGAAAGTCAAGGTCAGATTCGTCTGTGCACGTTGAGAGTCTGTTCAATGACATACACCCCCAGCAATAAAAAAAACATGTTTTCAGGATTAGCACTTTAAAAATCCTCATTAATGCATTGAGTTTTGGGAAACTCATTTTTGTTATTATGACATTTCTTGTTGAACTGGTTAACATTTGTGTATATGCATTAATGAACTGAATATACAGATTTTTTTTATCTCTTGCATAGTGTCTTTGTTAAGTTACAGCAGAGGTTCTCAAACTGGGGTCCCTGGACTCCAAGGGGTCCGCGAGAGGTAACTTGGGGGTCCCCAAAATTTTTTACTAAAATGTTAATTTGATTTTTCTTTTTAAAAATGCATGGAGAACAATGAACT